ACTACTACTCCGATTAGCAATGCAAGAGACGGATGGAGCCGAGCCCTGCATCGCCCGGTCGTGCTGTAGGAGCCGAGACTCGCATTGTACCGCCCGGACGTGCTGTACATTTGGTAGATCGTAAAATTTTTATCTTACGTATTTCTATATTGTTTTAAGTGATCAAACAACAAGTCGCTGTAAAAGCTCTAGAGTTAGCCACATTTCTCAATATCAAGTCATGAAAAAATCAAATTTATTAATTTGCATAGTTCGGCGACGTAGTAATTGACGCCGAGCTTGGCGCCAAGATCTACGGCGCCGAGCTCATGACACATCCGCGCCATGTAGGTAGCCACGTCAGCGATACCTAGAAAATAACCCTGGACCTCGACGCCAAAGCAATTGACGCCGAGACGTGTTTTTTTAATATATTAGAGCATTTTGTAAGCTCCCATTTGGCACAGCTCCACTTCATCACCGAAGGTGTTTTTTTCTTAGCTTTATGAACAACTTCATCCGTGGCGCTGGAGTCTTTTTGGTAAACCGTTTAACAAAATAGCTCTACATGTAGAGCTCCTTAAAATATGCTCTCATAGAACGTCGGCCGTGTAGGGCTCACCAGGACGAGGTGAAGCCGAATAAAGCTATTATTTTTAGCTCCATCTTCCATGTATCCTTTGTGAGAACACAATCTAAGGGGCTCCTTGAGTGAAGCCGTTCAGTTTTAGTTTTTACTCCATTTGACATAAAACAGTTCTAAACAGCTTTAGGAGCCGGTGAAAAAAACATGCCAAACGGAGCCTAAGAGCGTGCAGCGATAAACAATATGTTCGCTTGCTCGTATACGATCGTAGATTATAAACTGGAATAGTATTTTTCTCTCACACCAAATCAGTCAGCAGTAAATAATGCACGATCGATTACGCCATGCAGAACAGGCCGAAAGTTCTGGCTCAATAATGCATGCCTGACTATGCGGCAGGCAGGCGGGCAGGCGGCTGGCGCCTCTCGTACGACGTCGACGTTTGGAGAAGAAACGAGACTATAGAGAGAGCTTTGAAGCTGTGAAGAAACTACGTCTCCATCTTTTGGGACTAATTGTGTGTGTCTATATATATATATTCTCTTTGTTCTAAAATAAATAGCGTTGTTCATGCCAGACCAAATTTCTAAAAAATATTAGCAACATTTATATCTCTAAATAAGTTTATTATAAAAATAAATTTGATGATCTATCCTATGATACTGATTATGTTTTGTAAATATTAATATTTTGTATATATTCGATCAAAATTAAAAACGTTTTGACTCTGGGAACAACACTTAGAGTACTTATCTGCACACATACGTATGAGTACTCGTATACAGTTCCCTGATTCAGAGACAACAAACAAGATGACCGAAGTTAGCCTGCAGGCACCGTACACCGCTCTCTCTTGTCGATCGCATGGAAAATTTCAACTCGACTCCGGAATTGAGGCCAAGTCGACGTCGTGTTCTTGTTGTTGCATGCAGCTTTCCTGCGCACAATTTTGGAAAACTTTCGCGCCTTCTTCGAGAGGTTCGCAGCAGGTTCGCGACAGTTTCTACTGCAGTTCAGACAAAGCGGCATCTTGATTTGCACGGAGTACTCTCTTCGTCAAAGCGCGTGTTTAGTTCCAGGAATTTAGAATTTAGGGCTACGGTAGTATGTTTGTTTTTATTTGACAATTAGTGTTTAAACATGGACTAATTAGGCTCAAAATGTTCGTCTCGCAATTTCTCATCAAACTATGCAATTAGTTTTTTTTCGTCTACATTTAATGCTCCATGCATAGACCGCAAATATTCGATGTGACAGATACCGTAGCACTTTTTGGAATTTTGAGGTGGAACACTGGAACTAAACAAGGGCAAAGACTAAAAGCACATATAGGGTTTTTAACTGAGAACTTAGTATAGCTGTGAAATTATCTTTTTACCCTTATAAAAGGCATCTGCTAGACTTTACAGTTCGCGGTGGGAACAGACGAGCAGTCCCCAGAGCTTCCGCATGCAGCGATGGCTCTCTCTGGTTTTCCTTTTTTTTAATGTCAACTTTTATTATTTTGTTGTTCCCAAGGAGATCGATAGGCTTACAACTGCCAGCTAGACCTTTGTATAGCTAGATGTTGGACCCTATGTTAACATTTATTTTGAGAAAAAAATTGAATTGTTAATGTGTTTTTATTTTGGGGCGAAGGGAGTACTTGTAAGAAAAAGTTGGTAGTGTAGTACTCAAGCCTCGCTTGCGATCCCAAGGTTCCTGACTTTGGTTACCTACTGCTAACTTCTTAGCAAATTAAACATTTTAACTTCCTCTTAAAGTTGAATATTTTTTACTTTGACTAATGACTAAATAATTATATAGATTGGAGCTGGTGTTATTGTATTGATTATAAAACATATTTTTGTAACACAGAAAATATGTTCTTATAGATATTGGCTTTGTTTGTTTTCGTCCATTAATATTAGATATCAGGTATAGATATGGATATAGATTAAATTTAAAGATCAAATTGAGGCGGTCAAACTTCTTTGCTATAAATCCATGTCTTTGATTAAACTATATCTGTTGGGTATTCGCTGTATCACAGACGGGTGAAACAACCGTATGAATGTTGGAGTATGTGATGAATTGTGACATCATGGACCGGTTATTACCAGTCTACGATGAAACATCATCACATCAGATGGGAGACTTCCATGTCTGTGATGAAGTTTAGGCTCGTCGTCCGCAAGTGGCAAAGTGTGCTTTGTCTTTTGATCTATATACAGCCTGTTCGGGAGGCCGTATCGTATCGTGGATTATTTACTGCTGGCTGGTTTGGTGTGAGAGAAAAACACTGTTCCCGGCTGAAAATTTACGATCGTTTACGAGCAAGCGAATAGGCTGATAGTCGTAATAATTGTCCATTTTACTAGGGAAAATCTTCCGGAGCATCTACCAGGATCTCTACCTTCCAGAGGAAGCTCCTTCAAAAGCGGCCAATTCTATGAAGAAGCCATTTTTGCAAAGGGAATAATGTCAAATGGTAAATTGGTTGGGAGGCGAGGACAACTTTAACCAAGGTCTCTCTGTCAAACGATGAGAGAAGTTTGCCTTTCCTCGGGTAGCCACCCTCCAATTTTTGTCAATCAACACGACCGAACTAGAATCCTTTAAGTTTCCTATCGTTGAGAGGTGATCCGAGATATTTACCTAGAAAGCTTTGTGCTACTCTAAGAGAGTATAATTATTGCTAAAATAAGTAAGCTTTTTTTGTGACAAAAATAAGTAAGCTTTTATGTTGAGATGAAGGAGGAGAGAGAAGAGAAGTAGGATGTAATTTTACAGCAAGTTGATGCCCAAGCTCTAAAACTTTGTGAGGAGAAAGTAGGTCATGAATGATGAAGTGTGTTTTACTCACACTGTTCCAAATTATAAAACGTTTTGTCTTTTTGAGATTCATAGTTTTTGTTATACACTTAGATATACACTATGTCTAGATACATAGTAATTCTAGAAAAGCAAAAACAAACGTCTTATAATTTGAAACGGATGAGAGTAGTAGCTAGACAACTACTACATGAACAGGCTGATAAATGAGAAATAAATGTATATGTAGCTAACAGTGGATTATATTAAGCTCAACCAAAAAACATAATAATTTAGGGGTTTGAAGATTATTCCCTCTTCCTATTAATCTGTCTCTCTTAATTTTCATCTTGTGTTTGAATCTTGTGAGAGAAGGAAGTAATAAAAGATCCTCTCTTTTTTGCGACGAGTAATAAAAGATCCCTAGGCAGGAGCGCTTAAGTTTCCCTGAATTATGCTTGAAGAAGAAGTCTAGATTTGACACGCGATTAGTAGTACGCGCAGTAGCCACCGGCGGAATTTTTCAAATACACGTCGTGGCCTTCCCTTTCATCACTTCATCATCAGAGGAAAAAAAAAAGAAAGAAAAACGTCCGAATACGGAAAAATTCGAACCCGACAGGGACGACGACCGTCGTGGAAACGCCGTGGACCGTGGCCGAAAAGCGCATCTGCATGCAGGCCATGCACAGCCGGGCCCACGGGCCAGCGGGGCCAGCTTCTCGAAGCGCGTGCGCGGGGCGGCGGCAAAGCAAGCGCGCCACACCCAAAGGTTCCCGGGCCCGCCTGCCAGCAGCAGTAGCAGCCGCCCTCCGCGTACGTACTACTCGTACTGGATGAGCGCCTGCGCGACCTGGCCGGAAGCTTCTTCCCGCGTCCGGATCCTGCCCGCCACGTGGAGGCGCGGCATTGGTCCTTCCACGGATGATCAAGAACAACTAGTGGTATAGTGATTGTTGTCCAAAAAAACTAGTGGTATAATCGATGACGTAAATAAAAATAATAAGAAATTAATGAAGTGATGATGGACACAGAGTGTTGGATTAGGCAAGCAGAGACGGGAGTGTTACATTTTTTTTTGCAGTTGCAGTTTGCACGGACTGTATGTACATTGGTGTATATAGACTGTGTTGTGTACGGCCTGATGGAATACATTTTGTTTCTAAAAATTATGACTAATTAAAAAATTTACTCATAATACAAATCGTTATCTCGACCTCTTTGATCACTGCGATATTTGCACCTCTTCGATAAAACTAGTAGTCGCGGACAATGTGTTTGGCATGCAGGGCAAAAACACAGAGGACTGGTTCTGGGGCAGTCGCGGACTCGCGAGGGGGTGGTGTCCTTCGTGAAAAGTACCGGCCCAGTGCGTGGCCGCTTCCTTCCTCGCGAATCCCGCCGCCACCCGCCGACCCCCACCCTATATATACTCGGCCCCTTGCATTCTCTCAGATCAAACCCACGGGACGAGAACAAACGACCCAGCACGACACGACACGACACGACTCGATTCCGATTCCAATTCCAATTCCAATTCCAAATCCATCCGAACGAACACCGCCAGACCCCAGAAACCAAAAGCCGCTGCAGATCCGTTTCGCGTCTACCAGAGGGACGACACCCGCCGGAACCGGAAGAGATGGACGCGTTCTACTCGACCTCCTCCTCCTCGTCGGGGCCGTACGGCGCGGCGGCGTACGGCGGCGCCGGCTGGGGCCACGACTCGCTCAAGGACTTCCGCCAGATCACCCCCGCCGTCCAGACCCACCTCATGCTCGTACGCCCCGCCGCCCTCCCGTTCGCGCTTCTTCTTCTTCTCCTTCTCGTCGTGCGTGCGTGCGTTTCTCACTCGTCGTCCCGGCCCCACGCCGGTGTTTCTCTGCATCGTCGCCGGTTTAATTGGCTTCGTTGGGGGTGGAATGTGGCAACGGATTCGGGCATTCGGGTGCCCTCGTAGTTCGATGGGTGCTATAATGATTATCTCACAGTTTCGATGGCGGTTTTCACAATTTTTTTTTTTGGGGGGGCGGGGTGGGGTATTTTTTTTTGTTACTATTGGGCTCGGTGCCTCGCAAACATTCGGTTAATTTGGTTTGTTGTTCATTTTCGTGCCTCGGTCGTTCGAGAAAAATACTATTTTTTACCGAAAATTACGATCGTTTTGCCATGGCGCTTGCTGTCGGTCGTTCGCCTTCGTACGTGCCAATTTGCCATCCTTGCTTTGCGCCCTCGGGCTGGTTTAGATATGTGCGCCCGGTGGTTTGGATTGCATCTCGCTGTTCGAATCGTCCAGATTGATTGTTTTGTCGGGTTCAAATTGTTCAGTTTAGTGCTGTGCTACAGTGAACAGCAGCGGGTTCTGTTGAGTACCCACGGCCACGGAATGTGAAGGTGATTCACGCAATTAGCCTTTAGTATTTTAATTTTTTTATCAGTTGTTGGTTTCGTGGGGATTTCCTTGCGCAATGGAATTTCGTCTGTTTATTATTTTTATCATCACAACCCACGGTTTGCGTGTTGCTGTTTCTTAGGAATTTGCGATTCACGCGTGCTATATACCTTGCGTTGAGAACTGCGAATGCCACCGATTGGTTGATTCGTCATATAAGAACATGATTCGATTAGAATCATACAATATGTGATTGATATATAAAGTTTTTAGCAAGTCGATTCCATTCCTTGCATTTCGGTTACACTTGTTCATTTGTGCACCGGATTATGCTTGGTGCGATCTTGCAACCGTGTGATGTCACACGTCGTTCCGACGGCTGTTATTAATTAGTTAGTTGCTCGAGTGATGATAATTTAATTCAATTCAAATCTGACGATGGTTGTTGGTTTTGGTTTGGTTGCCTGCAGGTTTACCTCACCCTCTGCGTGGCGCTGGCCTCGTCGGCGGTGGGCGCTTACCTGCACGTCGTCTGGAACATCGGCGGCATGCTGACCATGGTCGGCTGCGTCGGCAGCATCGCCTGGCTCTTCTCGGTGCCCGTCTACGAGGAGGTTCGTTCTCCTCTCCTTCGTCAGTTGACTCTTGCGAGCTGTGCAGGCTCGCGAGCGAGGAATTTGACACCCGAAAATGTCAATCGTTTGCTGACTTTTTTTTTGGTCGTGTTGCCCTGTTTGTCCGTGCGTGCGTGTGTGCAGAGGAAGAGGTATGGGCTGCTGATGGCGGCTGCCCTCCTGGAAGGGGCTTCGGTTGGACCCCTCATCAAGCTCGCCGTGGAATTTGACCCAAGGTAACAACGAACTTACCTAGCACTTGTCTCTCGGAAATTGCCTGCGCTGTGCGCTACTGCTTATATTAATCAAATGAAACACTACGAGCTTGATCATGCATGAGCGGATAAGTTGTACACCCGTATTGACAGCGACATACGTACTGCTTCTATGGGATGTGTGTGTTGCCTACTTGTCTCTCCTGCCAGTCGCTGTCTGCTTCTATTCTTGGCCGCAGTTTTTTTTAGGTAGTAACGGGGATTTCGAGGTCAGAGCAGGAGATTTTGTGGCATGTACTGTAAAATTACAGTGCGATCTTCTCATAAGAATTTTTAAGTTGCTTTCTGAGAACTGTCACTTTCGGTGAATCATCATGCATGATGTTATAGCTAGGCAATTCATCTCAAACAGACATGCGGCACATACATGCATGATGTTGTCACTAGTTATACTTCTTTATCCCAATTTTGGAGCTAAAGCCAGTAAAAAGTTTGCATGCCCCTGATAGGTTCAAAATTTCCGCACCTAGTTATAGAATTGATTTTGCCCTTTGTTTTGCTTTGCCTATTCATGCTTTACCCCTTTTGTCAAAAGGTGCTCCACATGCATGTTGTAGCACTTTGTATTTGGAAAAAGAAAAGTTGCTTCCTAATTGCTTGATAGGAACTTGGCATGGGTTTATTACGACATAAGAAATGAATTTAGGCGGCGTTTGGATGGAGACCGAGATTGGGATTGGGATAGGGATAGGGATATTCCACCCTTCAAAGGGTAATATTGTATCCTAGCCCTCCATTCTTTACGTCATTTAATCTTAGCCGTTCATTTGTTTCCCTATCCCTGTCCCACCCCCTATATCCCTATATCCAAACGTCACCTTAAGCATTGAGCAATTTTCTGAAGATAATCATCAGCCCTGAACATTTAGCTTGTGCATCCTCTCTTTGGATGGATGAATATACAATACTATTGCTAGCCTTGGGTAGCCTGAAATGTCTGGGCACTGTTACTTGCACCCTTGATGGTGTCAAAGTTCTTTATCTTGTTTCTTTTTATATTTTGGCATGATGAATTGATGTCTGTTTATGCTGAATCTCTATTGGGTTCACGGTGCCATCAAGAGAGGAATTTGTGGTTAAACTAGGCATGCATGATCAACTGATGCTTGTTAATGCTGAATTCAGAACTACATTCGTACTAGTTCAGAGTGCTATTACAGAGGCAGAGATTTGTGATTGAACTGCTGCTGCTGCTCAGGCTCAGCAATTTTTTGTTTTGGTGCGCTGACTCAATCTTACCCTGTTGCTTGTGTGTTGTTTTTTCTCAGCATCCTGGTGACAGCGTTTGTGGGGACTGCCATTGCGTTCGCGTGCTTCTCTTGCGCGGCCGTGGTGGCCAAGCGCAGGGAGTACCTCTACCTCGGTGGGCTGCTCTCTTCTGGGCTCTCCATCCTGCTCTGGCTGCAGTTCGCCGCCTCCATGTTTGGCCACTCCACTAGCAGCTTCATGTTTGAGGTGAGAGACGTGCTTCTACCTGCTGTTTGATGACCATTGTAGTAGTAGACCTGGGGCATGCACGAAGAGCTAACCTGTGAGATGCAGGCGGCTTAACTTGAATCTTGAATGCTTGAATCCTTGCAGGTTTACTTTGGGCTGCTCATCTTCCTGGGGTACGTGGTCTACGACACGCAGGAGATCATCGAGAGGGCGCACCACGGCGACATGGACTACATCAAGCACGCCCTCATCCTCTTCACCGACTTCGTGGCTGTCCTTGTCCGCATCCTCGTCATCATGGTGAGCTACTACTGATGAGCCCTCGTCATGGATTACCTTACCATGAACTGTTGTCGGATTGGTGGAGTTTGTTCATGATTTCTCTCTGCTTGGTGTTGATGTCTGATTGACTGACTGAACTGTGCATGCAGCTCAAGAACGCGGCTGACAAGTCGGAGGACAGGAAGAGGAAGAAGAGGTCGTGAGCGATGTCGTTCTCACCTGCAACACTGAAGGCACGGGCTGCCTGCTGCTACGTACGAGTATATATATACACACACACTACAATATGAATGGAAGCTCCCACATATATAGGAGTAACTGGGTTCTTGTGGTGGAACTGAAAGAAGTGAAAGTGTTGCTTTGGTTTTAGTTTGTTAGTTGTCATGTGAATGAATCTGGTAAGGTTTGGTTGCATGTACGATACGAGCGCTGCAACAAATTGGATCTGCATGCCAGTGTTTGCTGGCCTGAAAACTCTCTAGATGGAATGCAATTAAGATGCTGCCATTGCACAGTCCAATCCTGTGTTCCATTCCATGTGATATCTATTGTAGCAGTGACTGTCACGCGTTTCTGGTGGCTGGAACGCGTCGCCTGTCACGAGCTAGCACACCAGAGTGCTGGCTGCTGGTGCGGTGAAATTGATTGAGGAGCACGCGCCACGCCACGGCCAGTCGGCCACGGAATAACTAAATCCAGCTTGCATGCTAGAGTTGACCAATAACCATAGCAGCGCCGACGATTAGTGTCAGTAATAATAACCGTCCTCCTGCCTACCTTGGATAAACATTTCCCGCCAAAAAAAGAAAATGTAGGGAAGCAGAGTCGCAGACAGAGCAACGCGAGTCATGGAGCAGCCCCAATTTTTTTTTATAATTTGGCCCTTTTTTTTTTGAAGAAAATTTATATTTGGCCCAGGGAGACGTAAACTCATCTTTTAACCCTGGGGTCGGTGCCAGGACTCATGACGCCGAGGTAATACGTCTCAGCGCCCCAGATCTTGGCTCCGAGGTGCCTGGCCGTGCACAGCAGGGCATCCTAGGTGGCGTTGACGTGGCCGGTACCTCGACGCTAGAATACATGGCGCCGATGTCGGCGCCACAGATCTCGGCGCCGACCTCGGCGCTATGTATTCTGGCGCCGAGCATGGATTTTAAACCCACGGGCAAGTTTCCCTTGCCGAGGCTGCTCTCATTTCTTCCTCATCCCTCTCGGTTTCTTCCTCTCCCTAACCCGTCCAATCTCTTGAATCGACGAATTTGACCTTGATACTTGAATTATCTAAACTAACTCAATTAAAAAAACTAAAGAAAAAACATACCTGAGAGCCTAGGGAGCCGGTGGCATCACTGGGAGCCGAGGGAGCTGGTGGGGGTCGGTGGGGGGTTGCGCGGGGCGCCGCCAGACTCGACCGTCGGCGGCCCGCTGGCCAACGGGGACGCCGGGGAGAAGCAGGGGCCGCCCTCGCCGCCGGTGCGTGCGGAGGAAGCTCTGGGGCAACGAGGGCGGCTGAGGAAGTGGATGGGGGAGCGAGGGAGGCGACCGGCGCGCGGGGGGACGGCGGGCGGCTGTCTACTGCGGTGGAGCGGGCGGCAGCCGGCGAAGGAGGCGCGGGCGACGGCGGCGGCGGTGAGAGGAAGAGACAGACGCGAGAGAGAGAGCTGCGGCCACACGCAGTTAATCCATGCTCGGCGTCGGCGTCATGTATTCTGGCGTCGAGGTACCGGCCACGTCAACGCCACCTAGGATGTCCTGCTGTGCATAGCTAGGCACCTTGGAGCTAAGATCCATGGCACCGAGACGTGTTACATCGACGCTATGAGTCCTGACGTCGTCCCTGAGGTTTAAAGATGAGTTTACGTCTTCCAGGAGACCAAAAGTATTTTTTTTAAAAAAAAGGTCAAATTGTAAAAAATTGGGTACTTGAGACGCCTCCACACCTGTCCAGTTGTCCTGTCCATCGTCGCCCCAGCGACTTGGAGTTCACTTGGAGCAGAGGGCAAAGGCGACGGGCTCACGGGGGGCAGCGCAAGCCGCAAAACCCACCTCGCGCGCCCCGCAGCCGCCGCTCGACGGAGGTAAGCCCCCGCCCCTCCCACCCTCCCCCCTCTCCTCTCTCCTCTCTCTCTCGTCCTGCGTCCGCGAAATGGTCTCTGCGATGCTCTAATTTCCCCGCGCGCTAACGAGGAAACCCCCAAACTCCAAGCCGTCCCACCGGGCCCCTGTGGGAGGGAAGCGGATCGCTGGGGAATGCGGGTTCCCTCGCTCTTCTATCCGGTGATCGGGGCCGCGCGGAGGGGTTTGCGCCTCTGAAATTTGGGCTTCGTCCGATCTCATTGGGGTTTTGGTGGGGTTTTCCATTGGGTGGTGGCCACGCGTGGATGGTGCTTCCGTGCGTCAGAAGTTAATTTGTAGCCCAAACCATGGGCGGTGTGGTGTTTGGTTCCAGTGCAAGCGGAAATGCCCTTGCGATTGTTGCTTTTCTCGAGTCCTATAGATATAGATCGACTAAGACTGGTGAGTTAGTTTTTGTAGGATCCTGTTTTTCTGATGATTGATGCATGTGTCATGTGTGTGCTTCTATGTGTACTGTCGAATCTAATTTATGTGCCAATTGGGGACAATTAGGTGGCTACCACCTTTGCATCCCATTCACTGAACAGCTTGCTATCTGCTAGTTCATGGATTTTGCAGCCAGACCTTTGCTTATGTGCTTTGGTTATGCTCGTGGTCTGAATTCTGGTGTCTCTGATGGAGGATCGTTCATTCTTATGGTCTAGTATCTGCATCATAGTACTCTCTGTGATTTCCGTACTTTCCAGATTTGGAGTTGTACATATTATTAGTGGGTCAGAGGAAGTATGTTTCAGTGCTCTCGGATTTCCTTACTAGTCTTATGTCACTGAGTTTTGATACGTCAATATAACCTTTAAGAATATGCCTGCTTGTCCCCCCATATTTTCAAGCTAACTGCAACTTCCTTTTTTTGGATTAGTGGTACTTTGATCTCGTACAGATTATGCAGCATAAGGTTATTTATTTACTTAAAAGCAAATTCCAAGTATAAATAAATGGGATTAATGTGCAGCGGATTTATTAAAACGTAGTGTTGACTGTTAAGTGTTAACATGGTGTGTGTGCGCCATTGCATGTGATTGGTTATATATCGTTGCTTCCTATTCCGCTAAACATCACGGTTCCTAGAATCTAGAAGTATTGAGTCGGGCGCTGTGGCTGCGATGCCTAAAACCTAATCATGGTTGTGATTCTGCCTTCAAAACCCGAATATGAATATAAGTTTACCATTCTCATTCTTTTTGCTTGTACTTGTATATCCTTTTTAACATAATCTTGGGTGTGCGACTGTGCGTCACCTACACTACAGCCTGACCTCACAGCATTTATGTTTTTTCACTTGTGAACTTTTGGTGCATCCGATCTTATCAGGTTTGGAAATTTCGTGGGGTTTCAATTGGGTGGCGATGCGTGGGAACTGGGAAGTGGCCCCTTACATTAGAAATTTGTAGCCAAATGCATGTGCACTGGGGTATTTTATTATACAGGAAGCTGAAATGCCTTGTTATCTGTGGCTTGCTTTCTAAAGTGCTAGATTCACTAGATTGGTGTAATAGTTTTGGGCCCAGAAGTTGTATACTGTCTTCAGTAATTGGTCATTATTTATGGAATAGGAATAATCTGTAGTTAGTAGTCTCCACTTGCCATTGAAATCTGAGAGTATGATCAAGAATTAAGAGTGCTGCAGTAGCATGTTGTATCAGCTTCAGCAACCTTAAGGAAACAATAAATTGCATTGACTTAAATGTTTGATGTGAGAGAAGTATTTTACATATCATACTGCTAGAATATAGACAGGTTGTTTGCAATACATAGTTCTTTTTGCATGAACTTCCTTTCTTTCAGGCATAGGTGGCCAGGTGCTGCCTCATTGTAGTTTAATTTACTTGTAGTTCAGTAAAAAGGAAAGACAGTGGCGGCTTAGTTAAAATAGACAAAAAAAAATTACTTGTCCCTATTTTCTTTGCCTAAACCTTCTGCGCCTGTTGCACTTTCTTTTTTTTTCAATAGAAATATTCATGATGAGGAAAATGTTCACAATGTACCTGTATTCATTTCGAGTGTCAAAAGCTAGCGATGCAATTATGCAACTAACAGGCAGTTCTTTTATATGCTTCGGGACATGAGAACTTAATGCAGTTTTGTATAATGCCCTGATTTTGAAATTTTGAAACAAGTTATGCATATGCTTATTCTTTTTATTTGTCATTCTATTGACCAGAGCTATCATTCAAAAACTAGCAAAGATGGTACAATGTACTCAACCTCCTCCCCAGTTAAAGCTTCCAGAGAGTAAGATCACAGAACTGACAGATGATGAGAACCATGATTCGCCGCCAAAACCTGAGAAAAGGACAAGGATGCACCACATTGAGAGGCACAGATCTTGTGTTGTGACCTTATCTGACATAGAACTTAATGGTCTGCAACCTCGTCGTCTGCTCCAGACCATTGAGAAAAGCCCAGGAGGATCACAGTGTTCGCTCCATGAAGAAACACCTACAGATACTAATGCATCACACAGGCATGCGATTGCAGATGCTGCTTGGGAAGCCCTCAAAAGGTCAATAGTTTACTTCAGAGGCCAACCAATTGGGACTGTTGCCGCAATAGACAAGTCTCAGGGGGCAGCACTCAACTACGACCAGGTGAAGTACTGACCTTTTCTGTTTCCAGTTAAAGAGTTGGCAGTGCTGTCAATTTTAAAGATTTCATGCTATTTTCGTATTATTCTATACACCCTTCTATTACTGTTTGTTTTGCATCTATCTTTATCGTAAACGGTAGTCGTAATCCTGATGGTGAGTATTCATGTGTACATTATCAGCTTCTGCAAAAATACATCATAGCTATCTCATGCATGAATTATACATCTCATTGTGCCTAGGCATGCAAAATGATCAGCAATGATTTATGTTGTTTTTCGTACATTGGGACAGGTTTTCATGAGGGATTTCATTCCTAGCGCATTGGCTTTTCTTATGAAGGGAGAACACTTGATAGTGAAGAATTTTCTGGTAGAAACTGCACGCCTTCAGTCAAGGGAGAAGATGGTTGACCTTTTCAAGCTTGGTCAGGGTGTGATGCCTGCAAGCTTTAAGGTGCATCATCGGAACCCTACCCAGAA